TCTATCTATCTATCTATCTATCTATCTATCTATCTATCTATCTATCTGTCTGTCTGTCTGTCTGTCTGTCTGTCTGTCTATCTGTCTGTCTGTCTGTCTGTCTGTCTGCCTGCCTGCCTGCCTGCCTGCCTGTCTGTCTGTCTGCCTGCCTGCCTGCCTGCCTGCCTGCCTGTCTGTCTAGCTATTTCAGTTGTTTTAAAGACATTTTAACTTTAATACACTTCAGATCTGCACCATTTGTGTTTATAAAGAAAAAAAAAAACATCACCACTAGACTATTTTTACTTGTGTTCAACACTACTCAACTAAATGATGTTTCTCCCGAAGCTTGAGGACAATAAGGTGTGGGGTTTAAAATACATTTCAACTTTAATGCACCTTAACACACAGCGTCTCTTACACCTGCAGCGTCTGACAGCGTCACAGTTACTACTAAGCTAAGATGCTACAGACGTAGCGCTCCTCTCAAGCATCCTCCTAACATGAATATATGTTGATGATCAACACCCCCCCCACCACCACCACCCCGGTCAACAACTGCCCTCACTAAGCTGCTAAACTGGTGAGCGATCAACACAGAAGTGTCTCCACCTCCTCCACCTGTGAGCGATCTCTGCCGAGGCAGGTGGAGACACACAGAAGCACTGCAGGTTGGAGGAGGTAACCAGGAAAACCTGGAGTGGATTTTTAGTGATTAGAGTATTATCCTCTTAATCAAGTGGAATGGATTCATTCACAAAGAAAGAGAAACTGCGCTGACTGAACTAATCCAACATTTTTCAGTCAGGCCATCTGGACAGTTTCTTTATTTGTGCTGAAACGTTTCGCCTTTGATCCGGAAGGCTTCATCAGTCAAGAAAACACACAACAAAACGTATTCTTCCCCCCACAGCTTACTCCAAAGTGGAACAAACCAGTTCTGCTTGTGAACTGCTTGTGATTTGTTTCACTTTGGAGTAAGCTGTTGGGGGAAGAATCAGTTTTGTTGTGTGTTTCCTTGACTGATGAAGCCTTCTGGATCGACGGCGAAACGTTTCAGCACAAATAAAGAAACTGTCCTGACTGAAAAATGTTGGATTGTATACCTGGATTATTGAGCATGGACTTTGTTGACTGAACTAATGTTTTATAGTAAAAGTGTGTGCGTGTGTGTGTGTGTGTGTGTGGGGGGGGGGGGGGCATGCCCCCTTCACATCAGTCAGAGTCAGAGTTTCTTTATTGTCATTCGCACCTCATGTGGTACATGTGGTGGAGTGAAATTATGTACACAGGGTCCCAGTTACATCCATCAATAAAATGTATAAGAAAAACAGTAATAACATCTAAGATATGAACTAAGAAAAACATCAACTAAATATACACTAAGCACTCATAACATAAAACATTGAACATCAGCACAAACATGAACATGAGTCTGTGAGCAGATGTGCACGCATGAACACATCAACATTGAAACAGATCAGCAGCAACATGAAACAGATCAGCAGCAACATGATATGGTTTTTCACAGTGATTATTCTAGTTAGAGATTCATGAGTCTAACAGCCTCAGGGTAGAAGCTGTTCCTCAGTCTAGTGGTTCTACACTTAATGCTCCTTAACCTCCTTCCTGAGGGGAGTGGGGCAAAAAGTGTGTGTTGGGTGAGTGGGGTCCTTCATGATGCAGGTGGCCCTCTTCCTGCATCTGGAGGTGTAGATGTCTGTGATGGTGGGGAGACTGATTCCAACATCTTCGGTGCAGCCTTCACCACTCTCTGCAAAGCTTTTCTTTCTGCAGCTGTGCAGCCTCCATGCCACACGTTGATGCTCGAGCACAGGATGCTCTCCACTGCACACCTGTAGAAGGAGGTGAGGACTGAGCTTCCCAGACCAGCTCGCCTCAGCCGTCTGAGGAAGTAGAGTCTCTGATGAGCTTTCTTGATCAGGCTGGTGGTGTTGTTGCTCCAGCTGAGGTTGTTGTTCATGTGTACACCCAAGTACTTGTAGCTGGAGACCACTTCCACCGATGGCTGCGACGCCTATGCTTTGAGCAAAAATTACGTGATTTTTTTTTTTCTTTCAAAGTGGCACAAATGAGTTTCCATATTTTTGCTAACAAATAAATAAATTATATATATATATATATATAAATATATATATAATTTTTTCCTACCGGTAATATTTATTTAGTTAGTTAAATTTGTGATTATTTCATTGTACTGTTTTACGACCAGCCCCGGACCTGTAAATCGTCCCTTCAGCTCGCGGGCTGAGGGCAGCAGCTTGTCGGATTCCAGCACATCACTCTGCCGCTCACCTGCTCCGCTCCGCCCGCGGTCTCTCTGTTTACCTCCCATCCCCGGCTGCTGCTCTAACGGTGGCAAGCCGGACGGAAACCTCAGCCTCCATCTTGGAGCTTGAGATATACTCATGTAAGCTGCCTGGCGTCCTATCCTTCGGGGATTTATTTTTGCTACGCCGTGTGTTCGTGCCGCTGTGGCGAAGGTGAGTTTGCTGATTATTCCCATGAAAATGTGTCAATGACAACAGCAGCTACGTCGTTAGCATCGTTAGCTTCTTTTGCTGGTCGCGATGGAGGATTGTGAACACGGCGTCCTCCACAACTAAAGTAGCTACTGATTCGACTGTTGCTCATTTCCTCCTAAAGTTTATTGATTGTTTTGAACAGTACAGTCTACCCCTCTTGATTGTTTTATCTGCGGGTTTTTTTTTTTTACAAGTTTGTTAGCTTCGTCCGCTAAGCTAGCTAGCTTCGCTAACAAAAAAACAAACAAAAAAAAAAATCAACTCTTCATTAACGCACGCTCGTTTATCAATCGTTGACATAATTATGTCTGGTATTATCGCACAGCATGTCTCCAGTGTAGACGAATTGGTTTAAATTGTGAAATAATATATATATATATATATATATAAACGAGTCTGTCGTGACAAAGCCAGCTAGCTGTTAGCTTCTTGAATGGCCTTCACAGCTGTCTTTGTTGCCAAAAAATGCAAGCGGTGTCATGTTATTTAAATGAAACTCTCTTAAGTTTTAGTTGTCTGCGTTACCACCAGGGTATGTTGCCCCAGTATGTCGTATATGATGCAAATGTAGTGGTCAAACTGTTTTTTTTTTTTAGCGGGTTTATTTGGTGTGTGAGGCCACAGCGTTCAGGTGGCGCTGCACGCTAAAGCTGGCGGAGTTTTGCTTTAATCGATATTCCTCTTTCATGTGCAGCTGCTCGTTTGACACGAGCTGAGAGGAGAAGCTTTCAAGTGTTGTTAAAAGGCAACGCGAGTAATGTGCGGTGTCTTTGTTTACCGCGACACACCGCTTATCAACTTGTGTTGGTTCACTCCCCTTGTCGCACGCCTTATCTGGTTTATCAAGGTGGTCATTGTGCCTCAGTGCAGTATTTCTGCAGTGATTGTGTTGACATGCCAGCACAGCACATGCACAGAGCGGCTGCCTGGATATTTTTGGCTCAGGTGGCCCTCCTTTACACTTATTGCTCTTGACACAAAGTAAGGGTGCTCACATTACTCGAGTCCTTCTCCTCTCTTCCCCTTCCTTCTCCAGAGTCGTGATGCTAAATTGCTTGTGCAGTCTGCACACTTCAACATCTGCACACGTATTGACACAATGTTGAGTCTTCTGGATGGGCGAATGCACAGTCTTCATCCACGTGCCCACTGGACACCAGCTACAAATTAATTGCACGGTCAAAGTTCACCGTTTTAACAGCACCTCCGACTGAGGAAGTCTCTTGAGACGAAACGTTTCTGTATTTTTTTTTTTGATGTTTTGTTTTTTGTTTTTCTGAATGTCCAGAGGACCAGATTGAACTTTTTCGGATTCACCGTTTTAAGTTTGTGTGATTTTCAGTGGGGCGGCCCAGTGGCCTCTTCGCGAGCAGGTTACCTTGGTTCAAATCCCAGTCCGGGGGATGGATGGATGGTTTTCAGTGAGGAAAGTAATAGAATAGAAGAATAGAAACGGCCTTTATTGTCCCACGGATGGGAAATTCAAGTGTAACAGCAGCAACAGATAAAAAGATGTCACACAAAAGTTCCTAAATGTTAAAAACAATGCAATATATAAAGAAGTAAGATAAACAATGTTAATAATAATGTTCAAAATATGTTGGGACATTGATAAGGACAGACTATTTACAATACAGTATTATAGGCGGAGTGTGTGTAATAAAAATGTAACGCATCACAATTAAGCAGCTGTTTAGATTTCTGTCTTTAAGCTACATTTTGATACCTAGATCTGGACGTCATGCGTTTGTCAAGAAATACGACTTGATTTGTCCTGCTGACACTTGGAAAATGGATCCGAATCCTGTTTAGCGTATTGTAATGAAAATTTCTTGACGTCATTTGAAAGAGGAAACCTGAAAATGTCAGGCTTTTTATGTTCAAAATCATTGTTGGTTTTTGGTATTGTTCAGAAAAGTGCTTCAAAACATTTAAGATTTTGTTTTTGGATGTCATTCATGTCCATCCATCCATCATTGTCTTGACCCGCTTCTTCCTTTTCGGGTCGCGGGGGTCACTGGTGCCCATGTCCAGCCATCACTGTGTGAGAGGTGGGAGACACCCTGGACAGGTCTCCCGTCCATCACAGGGACACAGAGACAAACAAGTCATTTGACTAAATCCATTTATCGCAAAATTTTCAACCAATTCACACTATGCCTATTTCTCGACAAACCACCTTGCATCTTAATTCTCGGTTCGCTGTGTGATATAAGCACTCCTTTTTTGGTTTTTCCTAAACATGTCTCGCTTGGGCTGTGACTTGGCAACTCAAAATTGCGTGAAAACGACAAGAAGGCAACTTTTTCATTGCAGTCTCACTGAACTTTGAGTGTTTGCAATCAAGCGACAAGCTGTGTGTCTATACTTTAAATGACCAGCGTTTGAAAATCATAGCCCGTTTCAGTGTGCATGGCTTGTAAAGCTGCATTTCTGGCCACGCACATGTTCTTTGTTGTCCATTTCTGCTCGCATCATACCTGCCTTGGCTTGCTTTGTACCCACCTTTGCAGCCATCTCAAAGTTGATGATTTAATCTGCTGGAGTACACGTTTGAAATAGACAGATTTGGGCCAGGTTTTTAATAGTTATCATCAGCATGGTTGTTAGACCTGGACATTTGACTCTGATGTTTTCCTGCCAGGGGCAGCACGGTGGCTCAGTTGGTAGAGCTGGTGCCTCTCAGTGAGAAAGCCACCATATCAAATCCCAACCGGGTACCTTTCTGCATGGAGTTTGCATGTTCTCGCCATGCATGCGTGGGTTTTCTCCATGTACTCTGGTTTCCTCCTACAAACATGCATGTTAGGCTGATTGGTAACGCTAAATAGTCCCTAGTTGCGAGCGAGAATGGTTGTTGTTTGTTTCTGTGTGTCCCCTGTGTAAGACTGAAGACCTGTCCCCACAACTCGAAAAGGAAGCGGTGGTTAAAGATAATGGATGGATGGATGTTTTTCTGCCAGTGCAGGAGTCAAAGTACAGGCCTTGAGAGCAGTTTGACTAAATGTAGTTGCATTGGAGATTACTTTGACATCTTCATGACTACTTTTGAAAGAAACTTTGTACCACAAAGTTTTTGAACTTGTTGAAAACCTAAGTGACCGGATTGCAACTAAGTCTGGAAATGGACATGTTGGATACTCCACAAATGTTGTTGCCCAACTAGTCACAGCCCAGTGAAAACCTCAACCTTCATTATTTCACATGAACCTTTGACCAAAACTGATTTAAAGGCATTAAAGAGTCACTGGGGTGGTAAAGTAGTATTTCTTGAAATATATTGACCATGTTGTGAACTTTGATGCTGTAGCCTGGAAGTGGTCCATGCCAAGACCCTCTTTGCATTGGAACCTGTTTATTGTTTATTTTTGTTTGTTTTTTGTGTTTCTGAATCAATGGGTGTGGTACTTTTCTGTCCAATAAACCCGGTAGAAGTTATGACAGGGGAGGAGGTATCCTCTTAAATGAGGGACAAACATTTAACATGAACAAAGTGAATTGTGTCATTAGAGCTGATAACCTCGATGTGTAATGGAGACATAAAAATTCCAAAAATCACCTGCTGGTTTACACAGAGCCTGTAATTCATATTCATTAGGTTCAGCTTTAAAATCTTTTGCATCAAGTTGACACCTCTAAATAATCCAAGCTTAGATGTTTATATCTGAACAGAAGTAAAAAATAATTAAAAAAAACCTGCCCGGTACATTTAAGAAGATGATGGAGGAACCTTCACTCAGGCCATGTCTAAAATATAACCCTCCACATTTACATATGTTTTTTGTTTATTCAGTTTTAAACTGATTTACCACTTGGCGTCTGACATCAAATGTTAATACTGGTGTGAAATAAGGTGGATTTGACGCGTCCGGTCTTGACTTCTGTCACTGCCTCCTCCAAAGCAAAGTATCTCCACTAAAGCACACTTTCATCTGGAGTGCAAGTCTTTACGTTTAGCTTTTGACTGAGATTTATGGAGGTGACATCTTTAGTTTCATGGATGGTTTCGAGGAAGGCTGCATGAAATTGGATTTGAATTTCTAAAGACATTGGGAAAGGTCAGCCTTGTGCACCAAAGAGTGAGGTATTAAGCATTTTTGAAGGTTTTTCTATTAACATTTTTTTTTTAATATTTTGAGCTGCTTTTAATTTTGGGCTTATTTTGATGATCACATGGGGAAGAGGAAAAGATTTACATGGTTAAGACGTACCTTTATTTTTCACAACAGATGACTGGTATATCAATATTTATTAAACCTCTACTGATATACAATCACTGTTTTTAGGAGACTTTAGAGAATAATCCATCTTCAAATATTTAGAAATAACTATTTTACAAGTTGTTTTTTTCTTTAAAAAATCCGGAACAACGTTGCCTTTTAATAGCATTTAAAATGTTGTGCTTGCTTTTAAAATAATGTATCTATGCCTCATTTAAAATGGCAAGATATGACATACTGGATTTTTATTTTTAGTGAAAATACCGTGGTGAAAATGTTTTCCAGCTGCTTTTCTCTTCTTTTGAGATTTGTATTAAAGTTTTCTTAATGTGAGGTAATGCATTAAAAAAAAATAGAATAATCTTTAAGTCTAAAACTAAAATAATAAATTTACTTTCACCTTCTTTTTCTACAAATGTACCAACAGTGATTTATCTTATATTTTATAATAAAACTTGTTTACTAATTTGTTATTTTAGTGATCTTGCTGTTGGTTAGAAAGTGCTTTTTCTTTTTTTATAATTTGCTAATTTTGTTTTCCAACTGCTAAGCAAGAGCTTAAAAATAAGAAGATTTATTTATTTTCTTCATGCAGTTGTGATGAATAAAGAAATCATGTCACGCGTGATGAGGAAGAGGCAGGCGGATCCTAAGGTGGTCCAGTGCGTGTGGGCCGCCATAGAGGTCATTCGCAACCAGAAACAAATCGCAAACATGGACAGGATCTCCAAGTAAGTTCCCTGCAGGTGACAGCAATGTGCTGCTAGAGTTATTGTATGTTTACTAAAACATCATAAATCTATAGTTTATGGTGATTTCATTGCTACAGCAAAATTTAGCTTTTTTTCCCTACTGTTTTTTTAATTTCTAAATTGTTTGTAAAAATAAAAACTTTCACATAAAAACCCAAGTCTGAACTAGATTATATATAAAATAAAAAAGTAAGCTGTTGAGATGTCGGTGTAGATTTTTTTATATTTTAATTACAAGATTAATGCAGATATTCCATTTTGTCCAACATTTAGGTATTTTATCCGATTGGTTCAGCCTGAATGACAGCATTTCACTGAATATTAATTTATAGAAATACTAACATTAAAATGGAAACAGTGTTTTGCCTTTTGCTCCAAATGCTGTTTAGCTTTTCTGTCGTTTTTTTTTTGTTTCTTTCTGAAGACTTGGTAGTAGGGCTGGACATTATGGCCAAAACTTTTTATCACGATATATTTCTTAATTTCGGTCGATAACAATATAATTCCGATATCGATATAAAAATATAAAAGCCTCAGAAAAACTGTACAAACTGTACAAATAAATTAGTGTTCACCTTTTATTTGTATTTAACCTTCAAAAAATTTTTAAATCTTCTTCAAGTAAACGTAAAACTCTCAACTTTGTCAATATTAATAGTTTGAGCTTTAAAATAACCTAGACGTTTGCTGCATGGGCTTCTCTTTTGATACAGCTGGGGGTGTTTCAGGGACACGTTGGCTCAAACTTAATATTCTATCAAGTGGAAACTCTTCAGATGAAACAAGTTAGATGTTTCCCCACCGAATCTCCGTCACATTTTGCAGCACACCGACTGAAACCAGCAGCTGATCAGATCTTAGATGGTTGAACCACTTCCACATCACCAAATTACTCTTTCCTCTCTTATCAATTATGTCATCTGCTTTCTCTTTGCTTGTGAAAGCTTGTTCAGTCACATTCTGAGGGTCATGGGCACTCATTTTGAAGCAAAAACTTAACACGCGTTGGAGATTAGCCGCTACCGCTAACGCCTTCTGGACTCGAGCTCTGCGTAACTTCCTCGTCACCACACGCTTACGTAGTTGTCGCTGCTTTTTCTGTTCGGGTTGAAACTGAAGCGACCGCTTCAACTTGACCAGAAAAAGAAATGTGTCAGTGAAACGCTGTAATCATATTGAAATATTGAAAATGTGCTTAAAACTCACCGTTACTGAATAAAAGTATATCGTGATATATATCGATATCGAATTATTGTCCAGCCCTACGTTGTAGTCAGAAACTTATGTATTTGGTTAACGCTAGGCCTGTTGCGATAAACAATAAATCAATTAATCGCATGATAAATGAAAATTATTGACCTCGTTTTCATTTATCAGCTTCATCGTTTCTTCGTGTCTCTTTCTACTGAAGACACTGGACGAAAAAAGGCTCAACTACGGTGTTCTTCACCGGGGGAAGAAAAAAACCTCTTGTTTTGTCAAAGCTCCAAAATTCACGGTTTAAACTCGTATCTTTGTGTAAAAAGTTGTTTTTCTCTGCAAAAAAATCTGAGAACTTGTTTACTGATTTTTTATTTATTTATTAAAAGCTTTGTGTGAAAAATGATATGCTAAAGAGCTCAAAACAAACCGAGCGTCTGCCATTTTGAAAACGGAAAAAAAGGAACGAGACAGCCCATGTCGCATCAAGGGGCCTCCCTCCCATTTTTCTAAGAGACACGCTGCTCGCTCTCTCACTATCCATCCTTTGCTCAAAACAGGATTTTAAAATTTGACAATAATTACTAATTATTGTCAAATTTCAAACAGTATCATCGTTTATTGCAATAATTTCTGAGACGATTAATCGTCCAGCAACATTTGTTATTGTGACGGGCCTAGTGAACGTTGTTCCTAAATTTGTTTCTGATTCGTTGGATCTTCAACATAGTGTGCTCCTTCTGTAACTAAAGGTTCATCAATTTTATTTTAAGAAGTATTCACCGAAATTGGAATCAGCAGGTCAGGCTTTTTAGAGATTGGTGATCGGTGATCAGCCACAAAACTGCAATCGGCGCACCCCTAATTAAGATTTAAAAAATGTCTCCAGAACCCTAATTTGTTTGACTTTGCAGTATTTTTTAAATCTGATTGAATAGTCCTCTTGTTTTCTGGGGCTTTTGTTTGTTTTGTAAATGTTGGTTTATGAGTAAAACCTTTTGTTTATTGAGTCAGTTTTATGTTGGAACTCTAGTTTTGTATTTTCTTGGTCACGTAGTGAGTTTTTCAAAGAGCTGCTATGCACAGATGTTTTTGCACTGGAACAGTACAAATCAGGGATCAATACTTATTGTTGCATTGCCATTCCTTACGTGAAAACAGCCATCCTATATCTGCAACTCCTCCTCCGTACAGATGGCACCTTGCATCTGCAACATCTGGGTGGGCGATTCTGTATCCGTCACAGTTATATCTCTCGTTGTTCAGACAATACAAATGACTCACAAACACCTTTGCAGCAGACTTTGCTGGATGGAGCGCAGACCGAGTGAAACACTTGGCCGCGTCTCTTGTTTAGTACATTGGGCGAGCACCTTGGGAGCTGGCTGCTCGCCGAACGAATGCTGGCGGCGAGCGGCTGTTGTCATGGCAACAGTAAGCAGTGGCATGCACCAGCTCTCTTTCCCCAGCCTCCACCCTATATGTTCCCATGGCAGCTTAATTTTAGTGAATATAAAAAGGTGAAGGGTGATGACTTTGGTTTGGTAGGAAGAGCGTAGGCTGCGGTCAGAGAATGATTAACCGCCTTCTGCACTGCAGGGACACACTTACTGGTACAAGGCAGCGTCAACTAAATCAGGTACTCATTACCATAAAAAATTCACTTAAAATTTGAAACATGATCAGTTATTCACTTGGATTACCGGTAACTAAAAAATCACAGTACAAAAAATAGGTGTTTTTTGTCTTGCAGTATCTTCTCTTGTGGCATTTAAAACTGTTTAATAAGCGTGTTTATGCAGAAAGGAGAGTAAATTAATTCAAAGTCTTCAGAAAAGTTTGAAACGTTTCAGTAAAAATAAAAATGATTTAAGTCTGAGTCAGAGAGTCAGAGTTTCTTTGTCATTCGCGCCACTTGTGGTACATGTGGTGGAACGAAATTGTGTACACAGGGTCCCAGTTACATCCAACAATAAAATGTAAAAGAAAAACAGTAATAAGATCCAAGATATGAGCAGCAACATGAAACAGATCAGCAGCAACATGAAACAGATCAGCAGCAACATGATGTGATTATTCTGGTTTAACAGCCTCAGGGTAGAAGCTGTTCCTCAGTCTAGTGGTTCTACACTTAATGCTCCTCAACCTCCTTCCTGAGGGGAGCAGGGCAAAAAGTGTGTGTGCTGGGTGAGTGGGGTCCTTCATGATGCAGGTGGCCCTCTTCCTGCATCTGGAGGTGTAGATGTCTGTGATGGTGGGGAGGCTGACTCCAACAGACTTCTAAGGTAAGGTAAATAATTGAGCAGCAGATTCCTAATATAACTGGTATTGATGGTTGTGTTAACTTGTACTTTTTTAACTAAAAGTGCAACACAAAAGCTGGTTCTGTATTCTTGATTGCTGGGTTTTGTTCGAACCACCTCAACTGGCTCCTCTCAAAGTGGAGGAGCAACGGCTCTACTCTGTGTCTCTCAGATAACTGAACTTCTCACCTTAAAGCTATGAGAGAGTTCAGCTATCCTGCAGAGAAAACTCATTTAGACTGCCTGTATCTGCAATGTTCTTCTTTTGTTCATTACTTAGAGTTCGTGACCATAGGTGAGGGTAGGAACGTAGACCGACAGATAAACGAAGAGCTTCGCCTTACAGCTCAGCTCCCTCTTCACCACAATGGACCAGTATAGTCTACAATACTGCTGAAAGTGCACCAGTCTGTCTGCTGATCTCACGCTCCATTCTTCCCTCACTCATGAACAAAACCCTGAGATACTTGAACTCCTCCACTAGAAGCAGAACCTCAACCCCAACCCGGAGAGAGCAATTAACCCTTTTGTCGACTGAGGACCATGGCCTCAGATTTTGAGGAGCCAATCCTCATCCCATCTTCTTCACACTCGCAGCACACCTCATACCAAGATGCTGATTAGACAGCATGATTATAGCACGGGTGTGCCTTAGAGGCAGACCACAATAAAATGTGCAGTTTTATCACACAGCACAATGCCACAAATTTGCAAGTTTTGAAGGAGTGTGCAATTGGCATGCTGACTACAGGAATGTCCATCAGAACTGTTGCCCATGAATTGAACGGTCATTCCTCTACCGTAAGCTGTCTCCAAAGGCGTTTCAGAGAATTTGGCAGTACGTCCAACTGGCTCACAACCATGGACCTCATGTAAGGAAGGGGAGGAGGAAGGAAGTCTGAGATGGTCATTGTATGTTCCCATACAATGGCAAAATTAGTTAATTAGTTCTCTTCATTTAACCCATCACACGTGAGATACACCCAGGTGGAGCAATGGGCAGCTATGTAAGTGTCCAGGGAGCAACTGGGAACTAGGTGTCTTGCTCAGAGACACCACGACATGTGGGAATGGCTGGGAGTTGAACCACGACTTTCTGGTCCCCAGTCGGCTGTCTTGCCTCTACCCCATCTTGGTCCCCACACCAGCCCAGGACCTCCACATCCAGCATCTTTACCTCCAAGATTGTCTTAAGACCAGCCACCCGGACAGCTGCTTCAATGATCGGTTTGCATAACCAGGGTTGCACATAACATTTTTAGTGGGCCCCTCAGGTGAGTATCAGAAGATGGTGTTTGATACTCACTCCTTATGCAGCTTTGTCTTAAGTACCACCTTCCTCGCTGTCCTCCGTGTCACTCCCACTATCCTCTGCTTCAGCTTCCTGCATGGTAGATGCTGCAGATGTACCTTCTTGTCCTTGGTATTTTTTTTATCGTTCATTATTTTGTAAAAGCCTCTATTTTGTGAAATGTAGTTATGATACCCTTCACGAGTTTGTATGGGCTGCATCTGCAGGGAAAGGGCGTTTACCTTTGGGACAAATCGAGGTCGTCGATTGGTCAGTTTCTGACATGCCTACTGGATTGATTGACAGGTTGCGTCGCAGATCTGACTCGTGCAAAAAAAAAAAAAAAAACGCTGTCACCGCCCGCCAATCGTGGGTGGAGGCGAGGCCCAGGTGCAGCGGTAGCGGTGTTCTGAGTTTTAATGTTGTTAATAAAAAGTTCTTTAAAAAAAAAAAACAGGGAGCACCAGCCCTGCAGTCCACACATCAGACCGGCCCACCAGGAAATCTCCAGATCCTCCCGATAACTTGGTCAAGTATGCAAAGGTGCTTGGTAACACAGGTGATGCTACGCATTCCTGATTTTCGTTGCACATGCGTACCAGTTATGTGCACCCTTGTGCATAACCACAGAATTTCTGTAGAAACTGTCAAACTGTCTCAGGGTTGCTCTTCTGCATGCTCGTTGTCCTCACTTGGGTCTCCACTTGACAGCAGTTCGTCGTCGTAACAGACTTGAGTGGGCAAATGCTCACATGTGATGGTGTATGGCACGTTAGAGAGGTGTTCTCTTCATGAATGAATCCCCTTTTTCACTGTACAGTGCAGGTGGCAGACGTATGGCGTTGTATGGGTGAGCGGTTTGCTGATGTCAACGTTGTGAATCGACCCATGGTGGCAGTGGGGTTACGGTGTGGGCAGGCGTATGTTAAGGACAATGAACACAGGTGCAGTTTATTGATGGCATTTCGAATTAACAGATACTGAGACAAGATCCTGAGGCCTGTTGTGCCATTCATCCACGACCATCACCTCATGTTGACGCATGACAGCTCACCATGTTGCAAGGATCTGCACACAATTCCTGGAAGCTGAAAACATCCCCAGTTCTTGCATGGTCAGCATATTCACTGGACATGTAACCACTGAGCGTGTTTGGGATGCTCTGGATCGACGTATACGACTGCGTGTTCCAGGTCCTGACGATCTCTAGAAACTTCACACAGCCATTGAAGAGCAGGCCGCAATTAACAACTTGATCAACTCTGTGTTGCACTGTGTTGCACAGTTGCTGACTGGTTTTCTAACCACCTATAATTTTGACACCTTTACTCGTCCGCTTGTATTCATTTATAAACAAGTAGTTTTTTCACAAAACGCGACATATATGAAGAATTTAGGCCAATAAAAATTAAGCCCACAAGCTGAAAACACTGTTTTCAGATCTACTTGACCGATAAATGAGCATTTTAAACAAAGTTTTGACAGCACCTCCAGGCATCTTTTTTCCTGTGGAGAATAATGTCTATAATTACACCTCTTTTTGAGATGTTTCTTATTTATCTCTCCGCAGGTACCTGAGCCGTGTGTTTGGCATGCACCCAAAGGAGACGGCAAGACAGCTGAGCCTGGCTGTGAAGGACTGTCTGGTTGTTGAGACCCTCACTGTTGGCTGCAAGGGCTCCAAGGCCGGCATCGAGCAGGAGGGCTACTGGCTGCCTGGAGATGAGATGGTAAGCTCTGTCACCGTCTGCCAGCTTTGCAACACATAAAAAAAAATAACTTCTTGTGTTTATTTACATTTAGAAAGATAATTGACAATGCCCTTGTGTTCACACTCTGAGCAGCAGTTTTAAAGAAATTTGGAAGTTCAGCATTTCCCAAACTGCTGAATTTCGATGCAAACTTTTAAAAGTTTGGTCTGTTCACCAGCAGGTCTCCTCCATTACATATACTACTGACTGTAAGTTAAGTTTGTTAATGCATTTTTCTTTTGCTAATCACAAAAACCAGACGTTAAACATAACATTTCTCATGGTTTCTAAAGTGCTCTGAAACGACGTACTGGTTGTCAAAAAATATACATTTTTAAAAATAATTTGTCTGTGAATGAAAACGACTGTAACTGTAATCCCAGTCATCACAGATTTACCCATTAATTAAAATTTATTAAGTTAATAACAGCAGATGGAGGAAGAACAAACTAAATGTCCTGGCGGAAACACACGGACACGTCGTTCCCCTCTGCTACCTCGTAGACGGTGATGAGTAGTGCGTGCCACAACAAACTGTGATGGAGGACTTCACTCATCTGTTAAGGTGCTCACAGTGTGAACACGGTGTTAAGTCACTGTAAGAACAAATTATCATCCTTAGGCTTTCATTCTTAGCAAGCTAAGGAGTGATGACGAGGAATTTGATTATTAGGGGTGCACCGATTGCAGTTTTCTGGCCGATCACCGATCCCTAAAAAGTCTGACCTGCCGATTCCGATTTTGTTTTACAAGTGACACTGTCAGGGGTTATAAGGTCACGATGCCCCTTCAATTTTTATTTTATTGAAAAACATACCCTTGAACAATATCCTAGAAACAATACAAACATGTTTTAACTGGCCATGAGGTAGTGCTCTGAAATATAAAGAAGTTTAGACAATTGTTGTTAGACCTACAAAAAATTGGTTTCTCATGTAAGTATCAGCCGATCGTCCAATATTAAGGAAATCGGGGCCGATTTATCGGTGCACTTCTAATAAATATGTGTCAAAAAGATTAAGCACTATTATTTAGGTTAATTCAAACATAAAATGCATAAATAGTATATGGCTTGTCTCAAATAAGCAGTTTTTTTTCCATGAAGTTTTGTTTTCCTATAATTTTCATGCCATGTCCTTGTTTTAAGTACCTGTATTAGCTTATAAATGTTGCATTCAGTTGTTTCAATATTGCAATTTGCCACATGAAGTTTACTCAGAAAGAAATTAAATGAGATTACTCGGAGAAATGAAATGCAAACGTAAACAAGAAAAACAGAAATGACGGAATAATAAAAACATTAAAAGAAGCACTTTTACAATGTTGGTTTTAGTTTGAATTGAATACACCGAGTATGATTTCTGAGTTTCGTAAGAAGAGACAGAAAAACATGTTGGCTTTTGCAGTTTTTTAAAATTGTGCCATGATAAAATGTTTTAATGATTGTCCAAATGGAGCTGGTCGCTCAGGACATGATGGTGGTTCAGTGGAGCCCGAGTCATTTTAGCTGCAGGCCTTTTAAACACTACTCTCTGAATCGCTTGCAGTCACAGGAGCCGAAAGCAGAGGGAAGCAAGGTAAGGGCTGCATTGTTACTTTTCAAATCCAGGGTGTGTTACTTATTTGAGCCCCTTCTTTCTTCTCCCCTCTCCTCCCACCCGCCCTTTCTCTCAACTAACATCATTCTGTGAGAAATCAGTCATGCCACCAGCAGTGCAGTCTGAGATTTGAGTGAATCTTTTTTCAAGCAGGCTGCAGAAACCCTCACAGTTCTAGCCTGTGTAAAACCACTTTGTCACGCTCGAGACAGAGAATATTGCTGCACCTTTAAGTGAATCTATCGCACAAGGTGAAGGCTGTAAATGGAGCTGGTTTCCGTTAGGGAAACGCTCTGCATGATTGTGTAAAGCTCAGCAGCAGTCGTACTGCCAGAAGCTACTAGCTGTCATTCAGTTACACTGTAAAAAGCTTCATAAAAAGTCCATCGCAGCGCTGTGTCCACGTGGCCAAATTTCTTGCGGAAGTGATCTGTGATTTTTGATGGAACGTGCTGGCTACTTACCGACAGGCTTGCTGTTGCTTGGTTTAAAATTTCTAGCCCTCGTTTGCAAATAACTACAGCCAAATATGAATTTCAATTGGTTTTCCCAACATTTTATTTAAAAAATAAAATAGACAAGCAGTGCAAGCATAGCTGCTGGTAGGTAGCAAGCATTTGTGTTTGTAGTACTTTGGTAGTCGTAGCTTTCAGAAGAGTGATCTGGTGTGGTCTTAACTTTTCGTCAGGCATGCTTTTCTGTCTTTGTTTCTGATTGATTGAAGCGGGAGTGAAACCTGGAGGATTTATGTGGTTGTGCTCTGCAGTTTTTCTCCTGCTTGAAACACAACTGTCTGGTTCGTGAAGGACAGACCAGGTTCTGAATGTGAGGTGCAGTTGTTAAATGGAGGCAGTTCTCCCTCCCTCAAAGGTTCCTGGATCCAGTCCAGCTGTCATGAGCTGCATCCTTCGTTTGACCTGAGAAATATTTGTCATATGGATAACCACAGCATTTATGTATCATAACTTACAAATAGCTCATCAAAATTCTTTAAAACAAGTTTAAATGCACCTCCTCGAGCCAGATCGGGTCAGATCCAGGTTTTTGCAAGATGTTTATAATTTCTGTGAAATTCGATTCAGAACTTTACATAAAAAATAATCTAATCTATTGGATGTTGATTGTTTAAAGTTTTCTAGTAGTCTGTTGATGCATAACTGTTATAATTACATTTTATGTTGATTTAAAAAGCAGCACACATTTTATATATTTAAATTACAATCTCATTATGTTCTCACTGCTCTCTGCAAGCGTTAAATTTTAACTTCACAACCTCTTCAGTGGCTTTACTTAGTCTTTGATTCTTCAAGCACCATGATTTTTGTGGATTTTGGCTTCTAGTTTTTTAAGTACTATTAAAATATGTAGGGGTTTCAAGCTGAAGGTCACATCGGTCATAAAGGTGGTGCCGCACTTGGCTGCGACTGTTTGAGACCAGTTGATGAGTCAGAAATGCTGGAAAATAAGTGTAATTTTATTTGTAGTCTTTCTGAACTTTGTAATGTGGCGACCAGCGAGTCATGCAGCGGTACCTGGTGCAGACTGTTTTTGCAAATCTATTTGTGTATTCACAGCTCGCACAATTGTACTCTAGGTTGTGCACATTATTTTTGTTGCACAACTACCCCTACGTTAGGGATGCACAATATTGGATTTTTGGCCAATAACCGATATGCCGATATGTTAAAACTTATTTGGCCGATACCAATATTTTTATATACTTTCCTATGCAGAGCACTTTGACTTATATTAAATGAAAAGTGTTAAATGTTATTTATTAGCATTAGTCACCTGTGATGCTGTCTCACTTGTGGCTTGTTCCAGGTTCCTAGCTGCAGTGTGGGATCTAGGGCTTTAACAGACTACTCGAGTAATCTACACAATGGACATCTATCGAGTTTTTTAATTTCACGTCGAGTATTCGTGATGACGTCATTACGTCGCCGTTACGTCATTGCGTCGCGCGTCACGTGATCCGCACCGGGCGCGGATTACAAAATGGATTCCTCCAAGCAGACGGATGGAGCGGAGCAGGCCCAGTCTTAGCAAACAGGTAGAAATGCATCAACAGTCTGGAAATATTTCACTAAAGATGAATCTTCTGGTTCAACTACCGCAAGGAAACAGAGAATGAAACAACTTCCTGACTGTTTGGAGCTCGTTGCGAACCGGTGTTACACCATATTCTGTGACCACCGTATATTGTGACTGTATGGGGCGGTGTTGCATGCACTGTTGCAGGTCACAGAATATGGTGTAACGCCGGGTCCAATCGACCAAACCAGAACCAGCTTCCTCTTGTTTCACAAACAAAAAGCAAAAAATATTAATCCCTAAATGTATAAAAAAATCTATAAACGTATTAATCTCTAAAACTAGACCTAATGTGCACCACAGCTGGCGGTGGTGCACATTAGGTGCCACATGTTTCGTTAACTTTTGCAGCTTAATAATAATAACTAAGTTTAGTTTTTCCTGTGACTAATTTGCAGTATGATAAATAGTATGAGCATAATATACGCTCCCAATGTTTTCTTGGGCTTTTTTTGTAAATAATGACCTTTTTTGCGGTTTTATTTATTTATTTATTTTTGTAATCCCATGATGTCGTCAAGTACTTGAGTTCTACGCGAGTTTTATTATGTTAATGTCGAGTTTAAAAACGATGTAGTCGTTCAACCCCTAGTGGGATCCTCTGCACTCTTGTGCACGAAGGACAAACTCTTAAAGTTCAAAGTTTTTATCTTCCCATTGTGCCGTAAGACTATTCGTGCTAACGGTGCTAACACTTGACGTCCAAAGGTCTGTGGTAAAACGTACCTAAGTGCTATCGGTTGTTAGCTTCTCAATGACGTCAGAAATTACGGCTTGTAATCTGGTTAAGGTTACTTCCAAAAAATATCTCTGACTGGGGACGATGTAGCGAGGCTCAACGTAGAACAAAAGTCTTCAGAATCCAACGTCCTCACCAAGGAAAATAAACTTCCACACGGCCGACATTTTGAGTTTTCCTCTCCGCCGTGAGATCAGGTAGGCGCGTGTGACATCATCATGTTGTGCTGGCGCTGCAGGCATCCTTGTCACTGGGTCTTTTATATCGGTGAGTTATTTAGAAGGAATGGCCGATGTCCGATATTGAACTTTAACGCTAATACCGACGATACCAAGCCGATAATATCGTGCATCCCTAACCTACAGTGTATCCACCTCGTCTTTATAAGTAAACCTGAAACACGGCAGAAAATTATGCATAAAGATTTGTTTATATATTTTTTCCAACATACGTGGTTACAAATCAGAGAAGAAAATTATCTCTAGACGGCCCGTAAAGAACTGCCTCTAGAAGATTTTCACATGCGTTTTGATAAGACAAAGATGTTGTTTCAGGATTTATCCATCACAATAAATTGGTGTGTAGATATATTACAGTAGCTCTGCTGTCTTTAGTTTAAACCGGTCTGGCTGCTCAGGTTAAACTCATTCTGACCACAGACATTATGTCCTTGCACCAGAGACCTTTTTGAAGCTACCTGCTTGTCTTTCAGCCGTGGGTCCAGTAATAGTGAAGTGTCTCTCAACACTCAGAGGAACATAAAGACCATCTCTGAATTTTCAAGTGTTTGTGCGGCCGAAGAGTCGATTACACTTCAGATATCATTCGATAGATCAGTGGAGGATTTTTAGAGTATATTCCAAGCTGTTGGGGTTCAGTTTTAAGTTTTCTTTTCCGCTCTTGTGTTTACAGGAGTGCGTTTAATTGCACTTCGTGTAAGTTCATTTAGCTGTTGAACTATAGAAACAAGTCAATAGTCTTGCAGTGTTTGCTCCTGCATGTTGGGAGACATCTAGAATCACAGTCATTGAATGCAGCCACATGGAGAAGGTTGTGAAGTAAAGATCGTTAAGATTTTACATCTAAATATTAAGTGTTTATTTTACTCGGAGCTCCTGTTTTCTTTATTACTTTATTATGTTTATTTGCATCACAACTTCTTATACAATTTTAGATTTAGACTTTTTTCCTTCCTTCGAGAGTTATTTATAATGTTTTTATTTAAACCGTCAACATTATTGAAATATTCAGCGACGTCCTCTAAAAGCTTTGTTCATGACGCGTTCTGCTTTTGTAACCTCTGGAAGACTCGACTGTGCTTTAGCTTAAAACAGATTTGGCTCTGGTCACAAATGCACAGAAAAGACTTCAAGAGTGAAACCAAAGTGCCGTTTTATTTCCTGTTTTTATTGAGCTGCAGTCTGTCTCAAATCTCCGGCGCTTTCTTCCTCAGTCGGTCCAGACTGTGAGTGGGAGGAATTGGACAGAGATGCATGCAAGCAGATGAAGTTTCCTGCTTCATAATTGATCTACATCATAGTCTAAGTGCTGGTCTGTCTGCATTGTGATTTAAAAAAAAAAAAAAGCAGCAAATATTTTATTTGTTGCTTTGTTTCAAAATATTGTAAATTAAACATTTTTTTAAATTAGCCTGCAAATAATAGTTTATTTCATGACATTTAAAATAAGCAGCCCAAGGTCTTTAAAAGTACTCAACTCTTTGTAGCTATACCCCTTTTTTGTAAATCTGTCTTTGAAAAATATGATTGTTTGAAGGAGCTCTAAACGTTTAAAGTTCCTGCTTCAGAATATGTGCATAATCTGAGAGGACAACATCCAGTTTTGGTTTGAAGTGCAAATTTAACCAGGAACATTCTTCTGCACGTTTGCAGGGGGGGGGTTGCGTTATGACGTTTTTATGATAAAAGGCTAAAGCATCATTGATTTATAAATAAAAAAACACACCCAGAAAAGTCAAGCAGAGCACAACCAAAATAAACTTTCTATGCGGTTGAGACAATAGTTTTTATTTTAAGGACTTATTCTGCATCCAGGCACCGGTAACAGCCTGACTCCCCGCCGTCACGACGGATGATTAAATCTCACATCTAGGTTGGAAGATGGAGAAAATGGTTTCCTCCCTTGCTGTAGTTGGCGGGTTGGAGGGGGGGTCACCCAAACTTGTGCTCTGCTGTTTCTCCTCTGCAGGACTGGGAGACGGAGAGCCATGACTGGTACTGCTTCGAGTGTCACCTTCCAGGCGACGTCCTCCCGTGTGATAACTGCTTCCGGGTTTACCATCTCAAATGTCTGTCGGAGGAGTGCAAGCCCAAAGATGGAGGCTCCCACTGGCAGTGCGTTGTATGCAGGGTGGGTGGGAAAACTTGGCTGTGCTTTTTTAATTATGCTTTTTTTACAAGACTGTCTAGGATTAAGAGTAGGCATTAGGATTGTCAGTAACCCAGAATCATAATTAAAGCTAATAGAAGCATTTTGTCGTGGAGCTACAGTTGATTGATTGATTTTTAATAAAAAGCATTAAATTGTTTTATTGTTGCTTTCTCCACAACCTCTTATTTTTTCAGGGGAGTAAAAAGAAGATCCTGAACAAACAGGAGATGTGTAAATATCTGCGCTTCATTGTTCAGCGTATGAAGGAGAGGGTAAGCACATCTTCGTCGTTTCATTTATGTTGCAGTTGTTGCATCTTTCAGACATTCAGCTTTGTGTTCATATTGCGTGCTAAAATATTGTTCATTAAAGCTTTAAACGATTGTTTTCCGCTTGGTTTACCAACATTTTTCTTTTGACTGTTGAAATGTTGTCATCGCTGAGGGTTTGCTCTCACTTCAACACCAGCAGTGCGGAGTGCTTGTTGCATTTGCGTGGCTGAACACTGGGTTTGGATGTTTGGATTCAAGCTGCTGACCTTCCTGTTGTGGCGCTGCTGCAGTGGATCCTCTGCCCTGTCAGGCTTTTTACATCTCGTGACCTTAATAACACCCATCTCAAAAGTTTTGTGCAAGTTCTCAGTTTGAGAGATCACAAAAATACACAAACCGTTATTTGAAAGTGAAAAACAGAGTAAGCCGGTTAAAGCTTGAGGGTTGAGACCATTCAATTAAAATGAAATGGTCAGCATCATGTGTCCATAAATGCAAATAAAGAAATGACCAAATTCACGAAGGGGTCTGAATATTGGAATAACTAATTTTGGAGGAGTGTTTTTGCATTTGTATTAATGATATGTTCTGGTTGGATAACAAGGTTGAGTCAGGTCCTCTGGATGGATTCTTCTTTGTTGAAACATTTAGTTTTTTATCCAAAAGACTTCTTCAGTCTGAGCAGCTGCAACAAACAGTCTTATAAATAGCACCTTCTTATAGTGGATCAACCAGTTTGCTGGTGACAGCCAGAACTAGCTGTTCACATGATAAAGGAGGACCATCAGTCTAACAACTGATCGTTAGAGCCCTGATGGCCGCTTGCTATTCACAGAGGGCTGAGTGAGTAACAGCATTGTAAGAGGGGGGACAGTTGAACATGGAGGCCTCTGCCCCGTTTAATGATGCACAGGTTCTTTTCACAAAGATGGCCTCCTTGTGAGCTGGTATAACAATAAAAAATCCTTGAATCCTTGAATCCTTCCTTTACTCCTCTCTCAAACCATCGTTCCTCTCTATCGAGGATGTGCACAGCTTCATCCCTGAAAGAGTGACGGCTGGCCTGGAGATGAGTGTAGACTGCAGAGTCCTGTGCTGGTCCATCCTTTTGGCCAGTGGCTGTTTAGTTTCCCCGATGTAAGACTGATCACCCTCCTGACACTGAACAGCATACACAATATTACTCTGTTTGTGCCGGGGGACTGGATCTTTGGGATGAACCAGTCTTTGCCGTAATTCTTCTTTTGTTGAAATGTTTCGTATTTTATCCGAAGGACTTATTCGACTAAGATTGAGTGGCAAAAGACTAAAGAAGTATTTTAAATAAAAGACAAAATGTTGTAGTATATTTATCTAATCTAGTCTCTGAGCAGATCAAAACCCAGGGTCAGTCTAGATAAATAACTAAAACTTCTAGAAGAATCCGTCCTGAGGACCTGACTTAACCTCGTTACATTTATCCACCTGGATTATTGAGCAGCATCAGGCCATGTTTTGGTTGTGTATTTTATTGAAACCTGATTAAGTGCCTTTTAAAAATGGGCACAACTGTAATTTTAAATGGCTGAGACATAAAACACAGTACTTACACCTTAAACTGAAACAAAAATGAAGATGTTCTATACACGGTTAGCAAACATGACCTGATGCTTCTTTAAAAATACCTCCATCAGTGAAATGGTTTTTCTTTGGCTTCTAAGCTGAAGTTATCACTGCAGTGCTACGTGGATCCTGCAAACAGAGACAAAAGATTATTGTTCCCTACCACGTATACATTATAAAAAGAAAATTTCACCTTTTTTCCCAACTCATAAACTTAATTCTTCTTTCACTCTGCTCTGAGGCTCTGTGCTCTAAACTAATCATGAGCTCCCCCCTCTTGAATCAGGCAAATATATATATTTTCTCCTCCTGTTAGATCAGCTTTCTCTGCCCAGCTTTCTTTTTCTCTGCTCAGCTTTCTTTTTCTCT